TGGAGGTTTTGATTTTATATCCATTTTAGAAAATAGGTATTAAAGATACATTCCCGCGTACAAACTGGGTAATTTAATGATATATATGGACTGAAAACATATTCAAACTAATTAATTTGTCATAATTTTGCTTCAAATCCTTCTCAAACATTGTAATTGCAAAGGAATGCCCTGCTATAAAAATTTGATCAAACCAGGTCATGTTTACCTGACTTACCTCCTCTGGAAGACAGAGGAGAATTCATTGCATACACAAGACGATGCTGTTTTTAATCGCTTACTATTTATTACAAATATCGAATCCTAATTGAATTCTCGGATTATCCACTATCCGCGTCTTTTTCCGTCATTTTTATCTCAGAAAGTGTTGTACGTCTATACGCTCCATGAGTGTTTTTCGAGAATCCAGTATTTTTCTAGTAAGATTGGATATCTCTACTTTCCATATATACCAAAATTGCCATACTTTTATTGGAAATAACCACCCGATAAATACTTTTCTGGGAACCCATCTTTAAAGACTTCCTTGTTTTGTTTGATGATATCAATTTTTCAATTGTCAGGAAGCTGACTGACAGAAGTTAAGAGAAGTCCAATAAATATATTGATATATTTATTATTTTATATCTTTAATGCGGGTGATTAATTACTAAATTATCCAATATGGATTTCATTATCAAAACAAAGGGAAAACAGAATAATGAAAGAGGCTGTATGCTTTTTGTATTTAAGCATATTTCCTTTCAGCAGGGGATAGACAGGTCCAGGAAATAACGATCTTAGTTGCATGTGACTGTGAGAAAATGGCCGAGTGATCTTATGCAGACACGTTAGATCATATGGTCTGTCATTGAGTGAAGGGGGATGGCATGTGCCTTAGATTATTAGATCTGTCATGGGTTTTCTCTGGGTCCGCTGATATCCTCTCACTGTTTTATAAACCCCATATTAATGAGAATTAATTGTACCATATGTTAGTCCCGAATTGACCTAGTTTGTGTTAAGTAGACATTAAACCCCATTTCTCTCTTACGTTATTGAGTCAAAAGGATGTCCCTTGAAAGTTTAAAATTAGAATATTAAATTAAACATACATTATGGGAGATTCGATAAAGAGTTGGCAGTTCTCACTATAATAGTTAAAAGCTAGATAATGTAAAGGCAATTTGCTGAAAATTTCATTCAAATTGGTCCACTATGAACAGAAAACTAAGCGGTTAAAATTTCCGGCTAGCCTTGATCATCATTACTAAAGTCAGTACGAAAAACAGCATAGTCTCGATTATCCATTTAATCGTTAAATCGTGAAGGAAAGTTATGCGGCTCATAATCCACTAAAGATCGCAGGCTAGCAATGCCATTTATGTATTAGCTCTTGCATGGACATACAGGAGAACAATTACAAAATAGAGTAGTGCATGCCCTTTAAAGTTTTAATATATTGAGGTTACACAGGAGAGCAAAAATCATATAATAAATCAAACTGTCTCTCTAAAGTTTAAAGCTATTACATGCAGATGTAACGAATGAGGATATACAGGACCCGAATCATACACGGGGAGAGAAATGAAATGGAATGGGGTTTAACGTCCTACTGTTCTGCTCCGACTGGCTAATGAAGACAAGCATACGCCATGCAGTGTGCTATAAGAGAAGTTTTGTCAGGACATCGCCACTACGACCTACTCTTCCAACTGTCAAGGGTTCTTTTATATGTACACCAATGAATTTTTGTCCCATCCGAACCACTATACATTGTCCCTAGTCATGCTCTCGGTCCTGCACCCCTGACAAAGGGCAACCACACTGGAAAATCCGAATGAACTTCCTCAACCAACACGGGATCGAACATGGGACCTCCAGGTAAGCAAGCCAATGTCTTACTCATTGAGCCACCGTGGATCCACAGGAGGTTAAAAAAAATTATAAAAGAAGGTAGACTGTCGCTTTAAAGATTAGAGATACTAATTGAAGGATACAGGAAACACAAGTTTATATAATTATATTGAGATAATATGTTGTTACTTCAGTGACATGTTTTGGAATGAAATTACAGCTTAGGAGGAATAAGAATAATTATGTTTTTATCTTTGAATAGTTTCTGAAAAACATATTATAGTGTTTCTGTGTTCATGTTTGAATACAGGTTTAGACAGGATCATGTTTTGTGGATATAGCAGAATAATTTTAGAAACGTGTTGTATGAAATTGTAAATGAGCCAGATGTTGAAAGTTTCTGATCCTGATGAATTTCATAAGAACATCAAGCCAAGAAACTTTACTTTTGGTATGTCTATTTTATAGTATCGTACTTCATTCGTCCATTAGAGTTGCTGATCAGGAATCAGTATCTTACCTTTTATTGGACAATTTTAATCTTAAAGTGCTTCTACAATGACTAATCAAAATAACACTGATCAAATCATATTTTATTATTTTGACGTAAATAAATTCAATTCTGAAATCATTTGAACAACCCTCAAGTGTGCTTGATGACTTAGATCATAATGACAGACCTTATGATCTAAGTCATCAAGCACACTTGAGGGTTGTTCAAATGATTTCAGAATTGAATTTATTTACGTCAAAATAATAGTGGAGTTATGTGGTGTAGATCCCCCACTGGTACATGACAAAGAGGAGCGTCGCCTGTCTAACCTCATGGGTTTTCTCCAGATTTAAAGGCCCCAAAGCAAGCAAATTATTGTAATAAAATTGATCCATAGTTTGTGTTCAGTGGAGGACTGGCTGCCTAATGTCTAATGGGGTCTGGTGTCTTCAATGCTGAAGCAAATTATTGAACATGCATCATGTTAGTCCCAAAATGAACTAGTTTATTTGTTGAGTGGAGGTTAAACCCTATTCTCTCTCTCTATTAGGATTTTAGATTGGTAGATACGTTGTTGTTGTTGTTCATGGGTTTATTTTATCTGTAGGAGGAAACCGGAGTACCCGGAGTAAACCTACAGAGTTGAGAGAGTTACATACGCTCACACCAGGGAGATAGGGTCTAGTGTACATGTATCTGAATAATCACTGAACCATGATCGATGTTTGATTGATTTGAATGATGTTATCACTGACCCCTAGTATAATAGATCTATAATAAGGGTTTTACAGACGACCACATCAGACATCTGTTACTATATAAATATTCAACAGATGGTCTTTGTTTGTTAATATAAATTACTTAAATCAATGTTTCCTAGTATTGATCCGTGTTGGGTGATGAGGAGATGGTGATTTGTTTATCAAACGGTGTAGTGGGTGGGGGGGGCCTCTCTGCATTTGTTATCTGGAGAGGTGTAGTGAGGTGTATTGAGGGGGTGGGGGGCAGCACTCTCCATGTTTGTTATGTGGTGAGGTGTAGTGAGGGGGTGGGGGATTCAGCACTCTCCATGTTTATGTGAAGAGGTGTAGTGAGGGAGTGGGGGCAGCATTCTCTATGATGTTATGTGGAGAGGTGTATTGAGGGGGTGGGGCCAGCACGCTCTATGTTTGTTATGTGGAGAGGTATAGTTAAGGGGGTGGGGGTGTTACTCTCTATATTTGGAGATTCATATTAGGTGGGGGAGTGGTAAAAATTATGGAGTTTAACTACTTCCTACTGTTCTGCTCGGACTGGGCTAATGAAGACGGGCATACGCCATAAAGTGGGCTTTGAGGGAAATTATGCTCAAACAGTGGCACTATCGCCTACTCTTATATCGAATGTACACGAGATCATATTTCTTTGTCCCATCCGAACGACTATATACATTGTTGCCCACCAGATTAATTTGAGATTATAATGAACTGAAACTGTACTGAATAGAACCAACATAAATGACCACTGGAATTAATAATAGTGATTGGTTTTACATGGAATACTATTTTACTAAACATAAGTTAATATATGTGAACTTAAAAAAATGACCATTGGATTTAATGTAGATCAAAAGATTTATTAAATTAATTAATCAAAATTAAATCTTTTGACCATTTGTGTCCATTCTATTTAGTTTATTTTAAAATACTAATTAGAATATGTTGACTCACTACTCCAGGACTATTGTCACCATGCCTCTGTCCATTTGTTTAAACTGTATATTGATTGGTTTATGGTCTTTAATTAAGTGATTAGTTTTATTACGATTTAATGATGTATTAGCCACAGTACATCACTAATTACACCATTGTTTATAATGTTAATTCTCGTCTCTTTGACAGGCTCTAACTTTTTCACAAATTTTTATTGGACTGAAAACTTTCTACCAGATTTAGCAATACGTGGCAATTTCATGCTCAAATGTTCCATGGGATCTTAAGATACAAATTGAAAGTAACATACATGTACAAGTAAATTATGCAACTGTCCACACTACATTTCAAACTAACCAACCGCATAACTTTCATATCCTTCCTCCTCAAAATCATAAATATTCACCTAAACCTGGTAGTAAAATTAGATTTAAACGCTTTTCCTCGATTCTAGACCAGGAAGTCAACAAAACTTGCACACAGAAAGACCTGTTGAGATATGATAAAATCTTTACAAGGTATAAGTTTAATTGTTTCAGTGGCATTTAGTCATTTACTGGAATACATGTACAATTACTGCTTATTTCTGAGCATTTCTTGATAATGACTAGAGAAGTCTAGTTGAAATGTCGCTCAGTAATAAGCAGTAATTGTATTCCATAGAATTGTGACATGCATAAGGTATAAGTTCAATTGTATTACATGGTGCCATTCCAACCATAGAATGCCCACTTATTAGAAGATTCCCCGTATTACAACCGTAGAATGCCCACTTATTAGAAGATTCCTTGTATTAAAAATTATTGATGTTTAATCATATATAATGCAAGAGGTAAATCTGCCTATTACAGGTCTTTCTTTAGACCCGAAATGTTATCTAAATTATTAATTAGATATTAATTAACCCTAATCAACTCTCGATGCCATCGCTATATTGATGTTTAAGTAATTAAGTTCCCTTTTATTTGTTTTTTTTGCAGATTTATGTCATGAGTATGAGGAACCTAGCATAGTGACATCACTGCAGAATGCTGATATGAATCAACATCGTGTCTACACGAACGAGATGGATTCCGCAAGAAACTTTCCCCCGTCGCCACGGGAGATGTACAGCACGATGATGTACGAAGACATGAGACATAGCAGTAACAATAGGGTGAGATTTTATAAAGTTTATAAACCAACATTTTAATCAAGGGCCGTATTCCAGAAATCTTAAAGATATATTCTCACGAAAGTATTTATAGGGTAGTTATTTCCAATAAAAGTATGGCAAATTTGGTATATATGGACAGTAATATATAGATCATCTATATATAGATGCACAATCTTAATAGAAAAATACCAGATTCCTTGAAAAACACCCATGAGGTAAGCACTGGGCAAAAGTGTTAGGGTATCACTAACTGGCCACCCGACGGCTTATTGCCTGCCAGCTTGACTTAAGCAGTGGACACACAAGCCGAATCATTCGGCCGAATTGTCGGCTGAATCAATTGGCGCCGAATTTTATACGGCGGAATGGGTGGACACACTAGCCGAATGCTTCGCCCGATTCACCAGTCGATTGCATCACCTTTCATGTCACGTGATTAAACATGGCGGCGTCTATGTCTTCAAACTATCACGTGACTTCTCGATGTGAGTGGTGATTGGTTAATGAATTCTACATTCGGCCGAATGCTTCGGCGAAGCGGACACACCAGGCAAATATAATTCGGCCGAATAAATATTCTATTCGGCCGAATATATCAAACTTGTTTGATTCGGGCGAATCATTCGGCCGAATGACAGTGGACACACTAGGCGAATTTTGACGCCGATTGATTCGGCCGAATCATTCGGCTAGTGTGTCCACCGCTTTAGGAGCGCTTGTTATTTCTTGATTGAATGGTTAGGCGGTTTTGGGAACATTGAGGGAGTTAAACGTACAAAAGACTCTGCAATTAAACACTGAAAAAAGAAGTTGGCAGACGATAATCCAAGAATTTACTTAGGCTTCAATACATGTATATATGGCAAATGGACACTAATTAACAAATACATTTTGAAAATGGGTCCTCCCTCAAACCAAGTTACATGACTTCTAGAACAGATTTTTTATATCTTGGGCTATTTCCTCGTGAATACAATGTTTTGAGATACATTTGTACGTGTTAAGACATCTTTGAACTAAAATATTTTAAGGATGCAGGTTTATCATTTGTCAGGAGCTCAAATTTGTTGTGAGATTTTAATTCTTTATAGCCAATTAAAAGTTTGCATCCTTGAAATATTTTTATTTATATTTTCATTAATATATCCCTGGTTTTATACCAGCTGTCATCATATGTTAATTGTTGAGTTATTGCCCTTACTCTTATGTTTTGAAAACATGTTTAGTGTTATTGCCCTTGTCTTGTCAACCTTAAAAATGAATAGAATAGAATAGGTAATTTCATTGGACTCAAGGGAGTCCATATCTCGTTTTCTTCAGAGATTTGGGGTTTAACGTCCTACTGTTCTGCTCCAACTGGAGAATACCTGACAACTCATCCCAAAGACAACTCATCCCAGACAACTCATCCCAATAAAAGACAACTCATCCCAAGTTAGAAGACAGCTCATCCCAAGTCAAAAGACAACTCATCCCAAGTTAGAAGACAACTCATCCCAACTGGAGAATACCTGACAACTCATCCCAAAGACAACTCATCCCAGACAACTCATCCCAATAAAAGACAACTCATCCCAAGTTAGAAGACAGCTCATCCCAAGTCAAAAGACAACTCATCCCAAGTTAGAAGACAACTCATCCCAACTTTAAAAAACCCAATCATTCCATTTATTATATCAACAATTTATATAAGAATTTATTAGATCAACAATTTATATAAGAACTAATGAACACCAGTGTCCATGAGGTTTTAATGTTCTGCTGTTCTGATGCAACTGGGCTAATGAAGACAGGCCAGTGCCATACAGTGTGCTACATGTCGAATTCCAACTGCCAAGTTTTAATTGACATACTAAAAAATCTGTTTGGATAATGCCAAAAAACTATTTGAATTTCAATATTCATATATTTGTGTGAGCACCATAGAAATATCTCCTTCCATTGAAAATCAACCTAAAATTATTTGTAATTACCATATACCTGTATGGTACCAGATGCATCCAAGGAAAAGCATGTTAATCGTACCGTACGTTTCATTCATGATTAATGAAAGGGATGAGAAAAAGATGTCATTTCCTGTTCAGCTTTGGGCCGTAATATAGTCTATTGTAGTCACTATTCTGACAATATTAGCTCTGGATCAGATCTGAAGCTGGCAGTTGCCTGAGGCAGATTTATATTGACATGTTCTTACAGTAGGATTTCAATAGAGTGTTGTACATGATAAGCATGCTTCTCAATCAGGGCTTTTACTTCAAAAATTTTGCTAGTCGGACAGTTTGAGACGTACTTCAGAATAGCTATAGATATATGTTTTTAGGATAGTTTTTGTTCACCTTTAAAAAATATAAAATTAACTGGATTTTTTGTGTTTAAGGGTTAAATTTCAATTTCACCCCAAGTCGGTTTGATATGACAAAAATGAGAACCTTGTTGCCAACAGTGAAAACATATCCCAGTAATACATACAAATGTATTACTGTGTTGCATGAAAATGTAATCAGTGAACACCAACCATAGCTTTACAGTGAATTAAAATGAAATGAGGGTTATCATCTGTTTTTTCATTTTCCGGCGTGGGTTCCCCTTGTGAGCGATGCAGGACGGAGGGCCTTGTACACATTGGCGTGCACGTAAAAGATCCCTTGGCAGTTGGAATTCGATACAAGAGTAGGCTGTAGTGCCGCTGCCCGGGCAAAATTTCCCTCATTGCACACTGTAAGGCATATACCCGTCTTCATTAGCCCAGTTTAGGAGCAGAACAGTAGAATGTTAAAACCCAGCAAATAAAGATGGGCATACTCCATGCATTGTGCTATGAGGGATGATTTGCCCTGTCAGTGCTACCACAGCTACATATACAGTATATTGATTTTAAGCTGACTTTACCATGAAATTACAAGGTCTGTCAATGAGTGGCATGCTTTCGATTCCATGCTTGAATGTGAAAAGGAGTAGCATCGCCTGTCCAACCTCGTGGGTTTTCTCCAGTGTTATAGACCATGTACACAAGCGAATTATTGAAATAAATTTGATCTGTATGTTAGTCCCAAAATGACCTAGTTTGTGTCGAGTGGATGCTTTCTCTCTCTGTCTCTGAAGCTGTCAGGAGATCTTTAACATGCTACAGTTGGTATTCACAGGACTGAAACTTGCTCGGCCAATACTGGGATATTGAATCCTGGTTAGTTAGCCAGAGCAATACTCATCTAGTATAATATGCAATTATAAGGCTCCTGCCGTAATAAAATCCTGTCTTCATTAGCTTGTAAGGAGGAGAAAAATAAAATGTTAAACCCTGTGTCATTTCATTTCATTTCGCCTTATGATATATAACGTGTAGTCCTAATCATTTGATTCTAAAGCGGCAGACACACTAGGCAAATTTCTGCCCGAATCAATCGGTGCCAAATTGCAGTCAAATTCATTCAGCTGCAATTCAGTGAATATAAACGCGGCGAATGAAAATTCAGCCTGATATATCAAACACATTTAATTCGAGCGAATCATTCGTGCGAATACAAATTCGGCATCGTGACTCTGGACACACTAGTCGAATTTCGGAGGCACTTGATTCGCCTATTGTGTCTCCCGCTTAAAAGCAGGAACTTTCTCATTAAACACCAGGATGAAATTCTGGTTAATGAGCCAGTGCCATACACACCTACCATATTGTTGTCACTATCCGTCAAAGCAGAACATTAGGACGTTAAACCCCATTGTCTTTCATAATTACCAAAGCAGAATATTGAATATTTTTTCAGTCTTTGGAGAGAATACCACCTGTATTACCACCTCGATCACCTGATACCCGTCTGTCAAACAGTACCGGTACTTCAAGTAGGGTGAGTACATGATCTCTCATTCATTACCACTGTCTGTCGGTCTGTCGTCCATACAAACCCAACCATAGAAGATATAAATAATATAATCACTGTTGTTACAATATTGTTTGCTGCCTTGGCCAAATTCTCTTCTGCATACAAACTCAACCACAGAAGTTAAAATACCTAGTGTTTGGAATACAACATAGCTGCCACGGCCAAATCCTCTTGTTAATACAAACTCAACCTTAGCAGTTAAAATACCTAGTGTTGCAATACCAGTTGCTGACCTGGCCAAATTCTCCTCTGCATACAAATTCAACCATAGAAAATAGAATACAATATAGCTGCCCTGGCTGAATTCTACTCTTCTTGTAATTTTAGTCTCAAAATAACCATATTTTCTTGAGATGAAGTTATAAATAATAAATGATTTGCTTTTAAAAATGTGTTCAATCGATATTCTTGAGAAAAAAAATGTGTTCTATCAATATTCTTAGTAAAAAAATGTGTTCTATTAATATTCTTAGAAAAAAATGTGTTCTATCAATATTCTTAGGTAAAAATGTGTTCTATTAATATTCTTAGAAAAAAAATGTGTTCTCCAGATCATAAATGTATTATTACGACTGATATAAATTTCTTGACAATTATTAGAGAATAAAATACCTATATAGTGTTACTCTTTATTCCCTGCTTGTTACATCTTGACAAGAACTTATAAATAATATTTCATTTCCTTTTGAAAATCCAAGAAAAAAACATTCGCCAGATCATAAATTTTATTATGATTGATAAAAATTCCTTGAACAATAAACAGATGGCATTATTAGATAAACAAACGGTTCCATATTAGCTCGGAATGTTGGTTTAATTTCGCTTAAAATCGATTGAAAAATTGGATTTTTATTGACTTTTTGTCTGAGTTTTCAAGCGCTCAGATGACTAGAGAGATAGTTTTATGGAAATGAGAATGAAATTTTTGTACTTGCTTGAAAACGTTGAGAGAATACTCTTTGAAAAATAGAGAAAAATATTCATATACCCACAAAAAAAATGAACCCAGAGAGACAGGAGGGAGAGGGGAGGGATTTGGAGGGAAGAGGGGGGAGTGTTACCACCTCTCAACATGAACTTGTTGTGATAAAAACTAAGTTATTGTGAAAAAAATTACGTTATTGTGAATAAAACTAAGTTATTGTGAAAAAAACTAAGTTATTGTGATTAAAGTTAGTGTAAACAAAGCTACGTTATTGTGAACAAAGCTACGTTATTGTGAATAAAACTAAGTTATTCTGAATAAAGCAAAGTTATTGTGACTAAAACTAAGTTATTGGATCTAAAACTAAGTTATTTTGAATAAGACTACGTTATTGTGACTAAAACTAGTTACTGTGAATAAACTAAGTTATTGGGTCTAAAACTAAGTTTTATTGGGTCTAAACTAAGTTTTATTGGGTCTAAAAGTAAATTATTGGGTCTGAAACTAAGTTATTGTGAATAAAACTAAAGGATGGGTGGGGGTGGGGTTTTGGGGATGGGGTGTTAGGGGGAGGGGGGCGTACCACCACTCAACACCAACTTGTTGGGAATAAAACTAAGTTATTGTGAATTAAACCAAATTATTCACTTATTGGGTCTAAAACTAAGTTTTTGGAACTAACATATGGTACAATTTTTATTTCAATATTTCTCTTATGCCCTGGGAAATAATCCTGAGGTTATCCAGGTGACATTTAAGAATAATGGTGATAATGGAAGAAACAGTTTAGTTAATAGCTCAGTAATAGAATCATCTTCAGGAATTCCTCAGTTAAAACTTTGCCTCTGGGAATAGTCTGAATTGAATATTCTTTTAAAAAAATGTGGCCTAACTTAAAGATTTGACTTAGAGTCCTATATGTACAGAAAATATGATATTATGAACTGCTATGTGAATGATCCAGCAGGAATAAATCTAGATATTCAGATTTGTAAAATAATTTAAACTCATTGAATTCCCCTGTAGATTATTGAAATCATCTGCTTCAAATTTCAGTTAGCATATTACATTAGGAACCAAAGTGGCTCGTCAGCAGGGCCAATTTTAGAAGTGGGGAAAGTGGGATCTATTGACAGTTTTGTTATTTTAAAAACAAAAGTGTGTCTTTGTTTGAGTGAGGTTTGAATCCTGCCATGTTCATCAGTATGGCACTGGCTCACTAACAGATATGAAATAAAATGGGGTTTAATGTTCTACTGTTCTGCTGCAACTGGGTTAATGAAGATGGGCATGTGCCATATAGTGTGCTATGGGGTGAATTTTGCCAGGACAGCAGCACTATGGCCTAGTCTTATACTGAATTCCAATGGCCAAGGGTTCTTTTATGTGTACAACAATGTGTACACAAAACCTTGGTTTAAGGTCCATTCAAACAACACTGTATGTTAACAATTGTCCCTTGCCAGACCCTCCATCCTGCACCACTGATGAGTAGGACCCACGCTGGAAAATCCTGATGTACTTTCTTGGCCAACGCAGAGATCGAACAAGGAATCTCCAGAAAAGCAAGCCAACCACTTACTCACTGAGCCACCGTGACTCCCTGGCTCACTAACAAGAAGGTTCCCGGATCGATTCTGGTGTTGGTTCCTCAAGATGCTCCAGGTTTTAACCCACATGCTGCTGTTGGAACAAAATTTCCCTCATTGACATGAACAGCACTACATAGCATATGTTGGTTTTCATTGTCCTGATCGTTAGGTGGCATTTAGCGATTAGAAAAACATTAACAGAAAATACTTGATGACAATAAGAGGATACTTATGTTTTTAGAATAAAACGAGTGATTGTTTCCCATAAAAATTGTCTTCTGTTTCATTGTCCAGGTACGTGCAGAAAAGTAGGACATATGAACCTAATTTCATTTCATTTCATTATTTTCATTTTATGCTGTCTATGACATTTAATTGGTGTAAGGAAATTGATAGTCTTGATTAATATGGCACTATTAGTAGCAACAAGTAGTATTGATTTACCAGTACTTTTAAGACAACTAGATGTGTATAGAAAGATGTAATTTGTTATAAAGGGACAACCATTTTAACGTTGACTCGTCGCTGGGTTTTAACGTTAAAATATCGTAGTTGGGTTATTGATCTGCAATGCTTGAAGGTTGACCGTCTGCTGGGTTAAGGATATAGAGATGTTTGAGGAATAGAATTGAGATGGTAGGTGTGAGATTATGTTCGGCGGATTTATGGACCATAAAATGGATATAACTTGGATGTTTTGAAGTTAACTTGACGTTGAAAATGGAATTGTCGTAGAAGTTTTAGTTCTGAGTCGAATGATGAAATCTTGTGGGGAATAATGAAGTTATTTGTATCAATGGAGGAAGAGGAATATATTATTTGTTATGAAAAGAGACAATCCTCTAGACATGGTCGTTGAATTAACATGGTGAGTTTAACATTGTGTATGGTTACGGAAGTCTGAACGTTGCGTTTATGGGGGTTATCTGACTGCATTAGCCCGGTCGTTAAACCCCATTTAATCCCTGTTGGTGCAGAAGTGTAGGCAATAAACCCTTTTATAAACATGCTGGTTGAATTGACATGGTAAGTTTAACATTTTATATGGTTACGGAAGTTTAAACATTATGTATGCAGGAGATGTGCATTTCACTAACCAACAGATGTCCCGGTTTAATCCCAGTGTGGGCTGAGATTTCTCAGTCTTGATGCAGGACGGAGAACATATCAAGCATGTACTTTTTTGGATTGGACGAAAACGAAGGTCCACCCATGCATGTAAAATTAATTGCTAAATGCCGCTCAAGGATTATATCAGTAAATATGTTTCGCTCCATATATAGATATGTGTGACTGCTGTTCTGATTGATTATTGTCACGACAGTTCCTTGTAACGTATGTCTACGTAAGTAAAATTTGATATATGGCTGGAATATGTGCATATTTTTCTTTGAATATTTATTGATTATTGGTTCTGGTTGAAGTAAATACTGGACGGGACTGAAACATTTTTAACTGATAGTCCTTTCAGATATTAAACTTTGCTGTAGTTTGCTGATTCCTATATCGCTTAAATCACGCTCAGGAACTTTAAGCCTTGTAAAATTGGGTATTTTCCGCAATAGCTGTATTATATATATAACTATATGAAAAGTTAAAGATAACTACTTTTAGGATACACAAAAATATAACAGTTTTAGAAAAAAGAACGGCGTTATTTGTCGATTACAAGCACTTTCGCTGTACCATAAAGTCTGTCATTGAGTCAACTGGTGTGGTTTCGATTCCCCGGTTGTACGTGACAAGAGTAGGGTCGCCTGTCCAACCTCGTGGGTTTTCTCCGGGTCCTCCGGTTTCCTCCCACTGCTAAAGACCCCTACACGCCAGCAATTTATTGAAATAAAATCAAACCATATGTTAGTCTCGAAATGATCTAGTTTGTGTCGAGTGGACGTTAAACCCCATTTCTCTCTCTCTCTCTCTCTCTCTCTCTCTCTCTCTCTCTCTCTCATAGCACAAGGTATGGCGTATATGCCCATCTTCATTAGCCCAGTCAGTGCAGAACAATAGGACATTAAACCCCATCTAATTTCATTTCAGTTACAAGAGATGTACATGTCGACATCTCCAACCATTGTTTACAAGTACGAGAAATCAGTTTTAGAGAATAGTACACGTAGTATACTTAAAACGAAATACCTCTCCAGACTATATTGACCAATTATCTTGAACTTTACAAGAGATGTTCATGTAGACATATCTGACTATTGTTTACGTGTATGTCGAATCAGTTTTAGAGAATAGTGCACGTAGCATAAGCAGGAATCCTTCTCCAGACAAGATTGACCAATTATCCGCAATCTTACAAGAGACATCCCTGACTGTTGTATATATTCGAATCAGTTTTAGAAAGTAGTATAAGAGATAATAATATTATTAGCTGTGAATATCACTACACACTAGATGGATGCTGTAATTAGATGTAAGGACTACTATTACAGGAAATG